TACATTTTTTAACTTGCCCCCTCTTTCCCCAGAACCACTATATGTAGGTACCTAGTATATTGTAAGTACACAAAACATTTTTTAATATATTGCAGAAAAAACGACAAACGCACGTCCGACGTCTTATTAATTTATATTATTGTTTTATCAGGCGTGTAAAACTCTATATTGCTTTCTTTGCAAATAACTATTCTAGTTTCATATTCGGACACAATCCCGGGAACGATTCCGATGTAACTCATTGCAGTAACAGTTCTATCTACGAAGCGAAAAAAAGGGAAACTAATTTTAGTCATTATTACCCAGAAAAATATGTTAAATACGATACCAATTTATTTGATCAAATAGTTATCGTATTTTTATAGGTACAATATGCTTAGTCTTTGCAATTGCCATTCATATTTTATGGACACATAGACCAAATTATACAGACGTTTTAATAATTAATTTAAATAGCTACTATATAAACTAATAAACGTGTGGTCTTTAAATTTACCATTGTTAAACATAAATATCTACCTTGTTTTATTTACTTAACAAAATATAAGTACATTTCTTATAATATAACCACTGGGTCATTGATTAGGCTATTGGGTAATGGGTAAACCAAAACAAATGCGGATAGGCAAAGTCACGAAGAATGCAATTTGGAATATAAGACGCAGAATCATTAGCTCGGGCTAAAGATATATGAAAGCAGGTATGTGTTGCGATAATCGACCACAATACAGACACAATGTTCTTTTATACTGAAAAAAAAAGAAGATAATCATCAGACATAAATATTTTTTACACAAGTAATTACGATCGTTGAAACGAGGACAAGTACGTAAACAGCAATCAATTTTCATAGGATTTCTATACGCCTACCAATGGATTATAATTATTAATTTTCTAAAGTTATATTATTCTAGTGTACACTATTTTGGGCTGTGGCCAATAGTTTGCTCGAGTAGCAGTTTCATCCATGCACTCTATTATATTATAATAAATGTGTGGACTTTTTTTTTGTCAGACACGGCTTGTGATGAGCAACGGCTATATTTATATAGAGTACACACAGCATATTCAGTGTGTTCTGAACACGTGTGGAAAAATTTGTGTTGCATAATTGATTGGATTGACTAACAAAAAAAAAACAAATAAAAAAACGATATTTTTTTTTATAATAAAAAAATATTATCGTATAACATACCATTTATTATTGCACAAACATGATCGCACTTTAACAAGCACAGATACGTTCCTTATATTCATGAATTATGTATTATTTATATATAATCCTGTATGAACGGGAAAAAAGTACACTATTTCAGATATTGAGGGCAGTGAGGAATGTACTGGTTTTACTATGATACTAATTTTTTAGTTTCTGTCTGTAAATAATTTTTTTCACTGAAATCATGTTCTGAGTGTATCTTTTTTTTAAATAAATTGTGTCTAGTATAAGTACGTTAGGAGAAACATTTTGTATTTTGTTTTTCTTTAAGATCTGGAACGTACCGAGAGATTTATTGGTTTTACTATATGTGTTTTGTTTTTCTGTGTGTAAACAACTTTTGGAAAAGAAATCTGACTCCGATGTATAGAGAGTAGTACCTTTTCTGAAAGGAAATTTTGTCCAGTTAGTGAACTAAGGAGGTAAATTTTTGATTTTCTAAGGTGTTTTCAAAAAAATTGGGAAAAACCGAAAAGAAATTATAGGTAAAATGACAAATATTTACGGAGCTTGGTGTTACCGTTTTCATTATTTTTAATTTTTGCAAACTAGGTTTTCTATCACCTCAATATTGCTTAAAGAAAACGACAAAATACTTTTTTTTTAAATTTGGTTCTAAATACTCACAAAGTAAGTTATTTTTTGATTTTTCAATTAGTTTCGATAATAATTGGGACTACCAGAAAAAAATGAAAAGTGTAAACCGAACAAATTTACGTTGCACGATTCACTATTAAAAATTTGTGTGGCTCATGTTTTTTACCATAAATATTACTCAAAGTGAAAAACGACAAAAATCTTTTTTTGTTTAATTTTTAATCTACTTGGTGTTTAAGAAAGCCGTTTTTTATTTTCCTTGTAGTTTTTTTTTTTATAATTGAACAAAATTTAAAAAAAAACTTAGAAAAGAGGGAGAAAATTTACGAAAATAATGCTTTTATTATTTTTCAATTTTGTTATTTGTTGTAATTCAGTTAAAAATTTTCGTAAAGACTTGAATTTTAGACACAAAACTTATATTTGCCTTTTCTAGACGTGCTAAAATTAAAAAAAAAAATTTAAGCCATTCTTTTAGCTATTTATAGACATTTTAATTTTATATGTTTTGCACGTAATTTTTGTTCGGTAGGTACTCTGTGGTAAAATTGTTAGACTTAATAGAAATACTAGAAAATTTACCGGAGGGTTTATTAAAAGTCTTACTTTGCGGTCAAAAAAGACCGCAAGTCGCTGAAAAATATTTAAATCAATTTTCATAATAAGTTAAGTTACTTTTTATTTTTTAATAATTCAGCTAATAATAATAAAAATAAAAATAAATAATAAAAATTCAGCTGATTTTTGAACAATAAAATATAAAAATTAAGTTGAACAATTTACATGTTGTAATTTTAACATTTCAAAATCTAAATCCTTTATTTGATTTTATTCGTGATCTAAATTGTTGACATATTCAGTAGTATATCCAGATAATTAAATAATATGTTAAGTATTTATTGTAGGTATGTGTAGAGAGGGGGATATTTATGTAGCAGCAAATTTCATACATTTTAAGTACTACTGTAATAGGCATACCTAATATTTTAAAAGCAAAACGGTAACACGTAACGATTTTGGATGTTTTATGCACTGTAAAAAATCGATATTCACAAAACACTAATATAAAACATTTTATAGAATATGTACCCATAAGTGTTACAATACCAACGTTAGGTTTACCTATAAGTTAAACGAGCAGTTTATTGGAACGCAAAATTTTAGGGTCGTACAATTTTTCCCTTAGAAAGAAAAATTAATTGCTTTTTGTACTTAAGTTTTTAAATCTTGATTCGATGTTTTAATTATTTTTAGCAACGATAAACTATTGCTAACGAAATACGATTTTGAGTGAAAGTTGTTTAGACATGATATGAAAGGTCGTTTCAAGGTTTTATGTTTTTCCTCAAAATTTGATCTTAAAACAGTTATTAAGAATGTATTACATTACACACATTAATTCTTTTTTGGCCATTAATTACAACTTAAAATAACCCTTTTGTTTAATTTCCAATCATTTATTTTTTTTCTTTTGGTCAAATAATTATATTCACATAGTACTTACCAAATAAAAACTACATACAAAATGCATAAATATAAAATGCCTATAAATAGCTAAAAAAATATGTTAAAAATTGTACCACGCCTAGAAAAGAAATATAAGTTTTTTGTCATCTACGAATATGTTTAACTGAAAAATAACAAAAAAAGCTGTCCAAGAATATAAGACGAGTGTAGCCACTGTTGTAGATGGGAAGTTGAGAAGGTAGGATATATATATATACGCATATTTAATGTACATAATATATAAGCAATGATTAACTATTGATAACAAAAAAACAATTTTGAGTGGAGTTCTGTTGATTTTTGTCAAAGCAATTTGCCAACAATTTATATATCTCATATTTTGGTAAAATAATTAAATAAACATTTCTTTTAATAATATTTGTTTAATATTGTACCTATTTTCCCGTTATTTCGGATTTACCATGTTTTACCTTGTTTTCCCCATTTATTGGGAAAACTCTTTCAAAAATCAAACAATGACCTCTTCTAAGTACCTCCCAATTTTTTTTAGGAAAAGTGCTATCATTGTAAATTGGAGCAAAATTGTTGGTAGAAATGTTGTCTACATTAAAAAAAGCCGTAATATTTTACTAATGCATTTCGTACATTTTTCCGTTTTTTCCCAATTTATTCAGATAAACATCATTGTAAAACAATAAGATTCTTCGCTCCACTAAGAATCTAAGGCACAATTGAAATTAATAAAGCCATTTTTTCCGTAAACTTGTCCGTTCTTTCTACGTTTTTTTCAATCTTGCTTAACTAAGAAAACTACATGGAAAATCAAAAACGACTTGATTACTCACAAACTAGATTAAAAATTCACAACAAAAAAGTCTTTCGTCATTTTTCTAATGCAGCAAGATAACTGATTGAAAAGTTGTTTACAGACAAAAGACACACATAACCTAATTAAACAGTGAAATCAATATCTATGCTCTGAATCTAATAATAATTATTGTTCATAATAATATCTTAAAACTTCAAAATTTTTGAACTAATAACAAAAAATTGTAATAAATAAACACACCGTCAGTATAGTATTTGTAAAATATTATTATTGTATTTTCATATAGTACAAGTAAATTAATAAAAAAAAAAATTGATACAGTATATAATATTATTATAATATAGTAAGAGTTGGTAAAAAAGTTTTTGAAATAATTAAATATGATGCAAACATAATAATTGTCTAAAAATAATTTATTATCAATGATAACATCTATTCCTATAATTAATAGCAGACAGTAGTATAAACATGGATTGTTACCATAATGAACGAAATTGTAATGAAATATTTAAAAAATATATCTAATATTGTATTTAGATCACAATAATAATTATAAGTAGATATATATATATATATAAACAGATATCGTATTAAATTACCTTTAAAATATAATAATTATTTATTGGTAATATTAAATAAAATATGTATTTTATTATGGGGACAAATTCTGTTTGTATGAAGATCAGACCCAAAAGTCTCAAAACTTAAAATTAGGCAATTATAAAACATACAATAACACTAGTATAATAATATTATGCTATTTAAACAACATTTATTTTTTTTAAAATTCAATTATTGATAAAAATGTACGGCATTGTTGTTTGAGTAAAAATTTCACATTATAACGTTAAAAAAAAAATAATAATAATAATAATAATTGATCGATGACTAACAAAATGAGCACGATTTTTTAGTTTCGGGATTAGGACCAGAGAGTTTTACGAGTTCCGGCTGGTCGGTTTCATCATTGTACTGTCCCATCATCGAATTAATCAGAAACCTATATACAAATTAAAAGTTAATAACGTTTATATTTTTTTTTTTGCTTAAAAACAAATCAAATGTTAATGGACACCAGTAATAATAAAAAATTTACTTACTGCATAGAATCGTTAACCATAAGTCCGTCTTTAGCGGATGTCTCTGTCCAGCCAATAAAATTGTTTTCTTTGTAGAACGCCTCGATGTCTAATTGATCGATTTGACGCTGAGCCAAATCGCACTAAAAGAAAAAACAAAAACACCGCTTGATTATTAATGAGATAACGATATTATTGCAGACCACAGTAAAGATAGAAATAGGCAAACTTTAGAATTTTTGACATAAAAAGAAAATGTCAAAAATACACTGATTTCTGGCAATATGATACAAAAAATGTATTATTGTAGGCAAAGTTTTCGTATGCTGTTTCGTGTGGAACATTTATGGGTAAATGACAAAAATATTACCTACAGAAAATTTGTATTAAGTTGTCACATTGTGAGGATTGAGGAATTTCGTTTTATGTGCCAATAATAAAATCGATTTATCTATATATCTCAAGGTAAATCATATCCACTAACTTTTAATGCATAGATAGATTAGGTAATTGATAGAGCATTATTTTATGACAGTATAGGTATGTACGTGATTAAAATAAAATATTAGAAAAAAAATCTGCAAGTATTGGAATCTCAAGTGTTTTATTCGCATGGAAGTTTTACGACAATTATACAAATATCACGAGGTTAATAATACGTTCTTGTATCTTTGCCGGACTAGTAAGAGATACTTTTAAAAAAAAATTATTCAAGTACAAATACAAATACTTTTGAAAATTATTTATAAATACATTTTTTTACATAATATTTTTTCCGATAGTTAAGTAAGTCTTTCTAATATTCAGTTTTTTGGACAGTACTACAATTTGTGTATACCTGATTTTAATAGGTACCAGTATTACAAGTTAAAATTTTACGAAATCATTGAACTCCCAACACTATAGTTTAATGCTTTACTTTTCATTTTAATAAATGAAAAACAATTTTAAAAATCAATAAAAGGAATTTGAATTAAATTAAGTATTCGATTTCAAATACAATGTACCGTTGAAAAATATTGAAAATACAATATTAAGCAATTTTGGTCAAACTATTTAAAATACACAGGTTTTCAAAGACTAAATATAAGTAGAATTAAATTTTGAGTAAAGCGAGGAATGAGGAATATATTATTATGCCACATTTTTGTTTTTTGTAAAATATGTAAATAACTTTTAACTAGAAATCTTACTGCAATAAAAAATTTTATTGGAACTTTTTTATAAAATTTGTTATCTAGTTGGTGCCAAGGAGGTCGCTTTTTGATTTTCCTTTTGTAATTTTTTTAATAAATAGAAAAAAAAAACAGTCATATTTTTAACATTTTTGATGATTTCTCGGTTACTTTGACAATAAGTAGTAAAATACGATTAATATTATATTAATTTTCATTACCAATGGTTTACCGTTGCTCACAGTTATACATGAAATAACTTTATGTATTTATACTTTTTTAAATTTAAATACCTTTTGCCCGATTTAATTGGTATGAATAACAGACTTAGAAAGTCGAAACGCGAAGGCGTATTTCATAATATAGTAAGCAAATAAAATATTTGTTTGCTGGAATAACTGGAAATTTGTACGGTTAAAAAGAATCCCTGTATTAATTTGCCCTTGGAAACGAAATACGTGAAAACATAATTTAAAATAATTTTTACAGCGCAGTTATAAGTTTAGATAGGTAGGTAGGTAGGTACAAGGTATATACTTAAGGAGTATTGACTTTTGAAGCCGCATAAAGGAAAAAACCAACTAATTTGATTTTTGATTTGATTTTTTTTTGCACTGGATACCGATAAAACGTAGTAATAGTATTGCGTATAAAATAAAATAAATCTCCGTAATGTTAACAAAACTAAAAAAAAAAAAAAAAAGTTAAATAAGGTACTTAATATAATTTCGTTTGGCGTTTTTAAGTTACTGCAGCAATACTGACTTAGATAAATCGTTATAAAACATATACCGCGGAGCGAACACGGCATACAGGTAATTATATTACTATATTTTTTCCACGTTTCAATTTAATATGAAGTCAAACAGAATAATATAAAGCCGCATCAGTGAAAATACATTTCATTATTTTTAATAATACTGAATGACATTATTAGTATGGATACATATTGAATCGGTTCACTTTTTATTATTATTTTTCAAACAGTATATAGCTTACAATAGAAATACAAATCTAACGGTATAATATTATATAAGAGGGTATTATATTAAATTATATTGCACAAAAAACAATTCGAAGATCAATAAAATATTTTTTTTTTTTTTTTATGTTCCCGAGTTATATTATGATAAAATAACAAGTAGGTAGGTATATGTGAAAACTATATTATATTTAAAATTGATTTGGTTATAAAAAAAAACTTCAACAACAACCGCGGGCATACCGTAAAAGAATATGGTATTACGTTTTGGGGTTTTTCGGTACTTCGTTAAGTTTTTTTTTTCTAGTATGCTTAAGAAGAGTAAAAGAAAAAAATACCTCGATCAAGAATATATTTTTTTATAGGTATATATATAGATATATATATATAATATATATTATACGTATGACCCAATTTCAATTTCAAAATATCGATCGGTATTGTAACTTGTAGGTATACTACGTATATTATTATACTTACAACTTTTCGAGTGTATAATATATATATTTTAGTACGCAGTATAAACCCGATGCCATCGCATAAAGTGATTTTCCCGAAAAAAAAAAAAAAAAATATCACATAAAAACCGCACACACATTGATATAAAAATCAAATAAAAACTATATTATTCTCGCTCCTTTATATATATATATATATATATATATATATACCTATATATTATTATACGAATCCGAAAATGAAACGTATACGCAGTCAGTTTTTATAAATCGTATTATTTTTAATGCGACGGAGAATAAAATTCGATTCCGAACGAAATCGGATTTATCGCTGCGGCGTTTGATGGTATTGCGTTTTCTGTGGAAATTTCTTCGCAAAATAAATACAACCGTCTAAAATAAATAATAATACCGTCTCGGCGGCGTTCGTTTTGGACCAATCGTATCGTATTTGCACTGTATATTCGATATAATAAAATATAATAATATTATTTTACTGACGAAAAACCGTATGCAACGCGTTTATTATATTATATGTATGTATGTATCAACTAGAAATGTGTTTCGAACGTGAAATATCGCGAAAACCAATCATATTAATACACTTGTTGTGTTCGCGAATATTTATAACGCGCAAAATATTAGTTTAGTACCCAATAGAAATGACGAGTTATTATTAGCTTTATTAAGGATATATAACACCTATACGGTTTAAATAAATTTTTTTTTTTTTTTTTTGAAATATAACACTTAATGGAATTACAATTCTGTATAAACATACGCGTGAGGTTTATTTTTGTTTTAATTTCTACTCGCTGTACAAAAATAATAATAATAATTGAAGACCCACGGGATAACGCCCAAAGGATAGTTTCACTTTTCGAAATTATTTTTGTTTTTTCAGAAGCAATAAAAAAAAACACAACGTTTATATTTTTTTTTCCTCGAAATTATATTTGACCGTTGCATCAGACAATGTTCAGGAACATGGGTAATAATATTATAATAATAGCTAATATTATGCTGATAGCATTTAGCACTGTCGGATTCATTTGCAGATTGTTACAGCTACATATAGAGCATTTTAGATTCTGAGCGGATGAGTTTTACTGTGATATATTTTAGATTTTGAGCGGAGCGAGGAATGTATTGGTTTTACTATGATTTTACTGTGATTTTATTTTATCATATTTATTTAGTCTGTCAACTTTTCTTCCAGAAATCTAATGGAATTAAAATAAAAAGACGACAAAAGAGTTTTTGGAGTATTTTGAATTTAGTTGGGGAGGTCATTTATTGATTTTCCAAACAGTTCACATCAAATCACTAGGACAACTATACAAGAAAAACGGACAATAAAAGTTTAATTGTTTTTAATTTAATTTTTCTATGAACTTACTCAGAATTTCAAGAATAGTGACTATTTTGAAAGGGAATCAATATTGTCTAGGAGGTCTAAAAGATCGTTTTTTGATTTTCTGTAAATTTTTCTTAATAATTGAGAAAAAACGGAATAATGCACGGCATTAAAGGTTTCATTATTTTCGATTTTATTTGTTGTTGTAATTCGATTAAAAATAATTGACTTATAAAACCATAAGTAATAGGTAAAAATGTATAAACTATACCTATTATATAGGTATTTGAAATTTTTGAATTTTTATCAATTTTTTGTGAATAGAATTGTGGCCGAATAGAAATGGTTTGAAAATTCAACACACCATTCATTATAAGTTGTAATTGGTGGTAAAAAAAAAAAGAAATATGAGGGTTTTAAAAATAACGTTTTTTATATTTAATACATTTTCTTTGGTTTTATACATTTTAAGTGGGGCGAAGAAATTTATAGATTTACAATGATGTTTATTATTTATTTATTTATTTAATCTATGAACAACTTTTCTACCAGAAATATTGCTCCGATTTACAAGTAAAGCACTTCTTCTGAAATTAAGTCCGACTGGGGTGGTACTCTAGGAAGGTCATTTTTTGATTTCCCCAGTAGGTTTTTTCAATATATTGAAAAACCCTAAAAAAAACTGAGGAAAACGGAAAAATAGGTATAATATTAAACAAATATTATCAAACAAAATGTTTAATGCATATTTAATAACTATTTTATCATAATATGATATATATATATATATTGTTGACACAGAAATAATATCAACTGAACTCCGCTCAAAATTGTTTTCTCGTTAACAATGATTAATAGTTGCTTACAGGTATACATGTTAAATTCTCGTCTATATTCTACCTTCTCAACTTCCCAACTACAAAAGTAGCTTATCCATCGTGCGAAGTTGCTCGGTTTTTTTTATCTGTCTGTAAACAACTTTTTTTAACAGATATTTTGCTTCAATCAAAACCTTTCTTGAATAATTTTTGGTTTGGTATTAGTGTTTTTTTTTTTTATTTTTCTAGTATAGTTTTCTTAATAATTGGGAAAAACTGGCAATTTGTTGTATCATTTTCGGACTATCTTGGAAACAAGGGAAAAACGGACATAATTTGCAACGATGGGTTACTGTTCTAGATGAGAAGTTGGGAAGGTAGTAGGTAGATTTAATGTATATATGTACGCAATGATTTAATATTACTAACGAAAAGCGGTTCTGAGCGGTGTTCGGTTATACATATTTTGAAAGGCTATAATATTTATATAATATTTACAATTTTAAATTAGTACATTGCATAAATTTTCCCGTTTTTTGCCATTTATTACGGAACCCCTGAAAAAATCAAAAATGACCTATATAAAGTACCACCTCAGTCAAATTTCCTTGCAGAAAAAGTGCTACACTTCAAAATCGAAACAAAATTTCTGGTAAAAAAGTTATTCACAGAAAATAAAAAAATAAATATCATTGTAAAACTATTACATTCCTCGGTCCTCTCAGAATCTAAAATACGACTAATTATTCGGTTCAGAATCGTTTTTCTTTAGCGACGGTTTATCGTTGCGTACAGACATCAATTAAATTTCCCTTTCAACTTCTCTTCTAAAACAGTGACATAACTATCGGTAATATCGGCCTATTATGTTTTACTTTAAATAATGCTGTCAAAGAGAGCATTTTTGAAAAAAACAAATTGCGAGTTACCTATCTGGCGATCATACCAAGGTCTTTATAATCAATTATTAGATTTCTGTACTATGCACACGTGTATTCATTTAAATGTTTGTATTATAGGTTATTATTTGCATTATTATTCATTCGCCCTGTAGTAGTTTACAAGTTTATAAAAATGTTGATTTTTTTACGTTACGTAATGCGTAAACTATTGTTTGTAAATATAAAAAAAAAACACCCACTTACACACGAATAATAAAATTTCATTATACCTAATTGATTCGAACGTAACAATATTATTTATAGTGTTTAACAAACATAATTATATACAGCATGGTTCAACTTGAATTTATTATTACTTAACTAAGAGTATTAGATACTGATCGTTTCTTTCTTTGTCTAACGCATATACGCAAAATATCAATAATTATTTAGACCAATTTTCCATCGATCGGCATCGTATAGTGGTAAGTAGTATAAAAATCCCGAAAACTGATTTCCATTTTTTTTATTTTTTTTAACGTTATATTTTGTTAATATTAATATTATAATAAATCAGAATTTTCTCATAGATATTTAAGAACAAAATAATAATTGAAATAAAATATTAGATACTTCTTTTAATAATAACTGTTAATTTTCATTTATATTTTAAGAACGAATATGAATTATATTATTGTTTTCACTCTTCAAAATATATTAATAGTTGTTTAAATTTAATTTTTGACAGTTTAAAACGTTTTATACAAGCGTTTAAAACATTTCGTAACTCTGAATTAATTCTTCTTCGTATTTTAATAGTTAATTTCCGAAAATATATGAAAATTTACCAAAAACATGAAAATCGTAAAATTAAATTGAAAAATAAATAAATGGACTGACCCATTTCTTGTAACTCCGGGCAGAATTTCGCATCGTTTCGCTACATCGATCGAAAGAAAATGTTCTACATTTTATATACGTTGAGGAGTATGTAAGCATGTCAGACAAAGATAAAAATGTCTGTACCCAGCCTCCATTGTTAGACATATATCTACGCAGGTTAATATTTTTCAAAACTACAATATTATATATTTTATTTGATTGCGTATAATATAAACATATTTTTTTTTTTTATTTGGCTTCCACCACATTATCGTGTATGATATAATATTATGAACGACGCAAATAATACATACCTATTGCATATTAATTATTATTTATTATTAGATTTTTAATAGTGTTTCCGATAACGAGAATTGAACGTGCTCAGGTCAAACGCATTTATTTCTTGATAGCGTTTCGGAGTTATAGCTTCTAATATAATTATCATTGACACACGAAACATTGAATTGAACACACTATAAACATTAACGCACTTTACAGGGTCACTAAAATGTATACTACGCCTGTCATCGTATTAATATTTTAGTTTTTAAACTATTGAACTTGAGTGGGGCTGCACGTATTGACTTTGACACGTTATATTTATTTTTTTTACGAGCATACAGTCCCCGATTATTAATTTACTGAGCAGGAAACATTCAACGCTTATATACCGGGTGATTCATTTAAGTGGGTAAACTCATTATCTCGGATAGTATTAACTTTTTTCGGAATTTATTTTCTAAAACATTTAAGAAACAAGCTACTCTACAATTTTATTTTTATGTTGTTTTTGTCACCCTTTTTTTTGGGGGTAATACCACTACCTACTTTTGATTTTCAAATGGCAACCTATATTAAAAATTCCATAAATATATGGAGTATTAATTAAAATAAATTTTAGTGTTGAAATGTTTGATTTCCGTCGATCGGTTGACGAGGTTGGAGGAGAGTAATGGTGCATTATTAACACGCCGCGCGCCACACCGCCACACAAATGATACTTCACTGCTCTCATCCAACTCAAACTTAAAAGCGGAATATCTCGTCAACCGATCGACGGAAATCAAACATTTCATTACTAAAATTTATTTTAACTAATACACAATATATTTATAGAATATAAAATCAAAAGTAGGTAGTGGTTTTACCCCCAAAAATAAGAGTGACAAAAACAACATAAAAATAAAATTGTAGAGCAGCTTGTTTCTTAAATGTTCTAGAAAAGAAATTCCGAAAAAATTTAATACTTTCCGAGATAATGAGTGTACCCACTTAAATGGATCACTCAGTATATACATCACATGCTATGCGCTCGGTTTCATAATATAATTTTTATTTGGACATTTAGGTTGTGGTTTTTTTCTCTAAAACTAATATATAATCAAATTATCAACAGGCCATAAGCGCTGCAGAGATGTGTTTAACACCCTCAAATGTTTGTTTAGCATCCTAAATAACTTGATTAACGCTTATGAATTATGGCACATTTCAATCATGGCTACAGTTATACCATTGTATTAATTTTTTCCACTGCATGTTGCATATTGAAAAATATTAAATCAATTACAAATTTAAAATCTAGATTTTAATTACTATACCGAGTTACTATTAGTTATTAATTTATATTTATAACAGTATATTTGATTTAAGTTTATTAAAAATGCTCATCGTTATTACAATTGAAAAATAATTTAAAATATCGTAAATAAAGTGATTTATATTTTTCTACACACTCCTCCTTTCTTCCCGACATTTATGGTCAAATTGCGCCTATAGAACAGATAACGATATTTTCTTAAATCTAACCAATTTTTCTAAAAATGCTGTACGAAAATTTAATAGAAAATATAAAATGTTACATAAAATGTATTGGTTAGTTTTTAGGATATATAGGTACGGACGGTACCGCAAGGTAACTTCCAAAATGTGCATGCCTATTGGTTATACATATCAACCGTCGATTTATAAATAGGTTTCCGAATTATCCGAAATTTTAAATAATATTATAAATATTTGATTTTGAACTTTTATTTTGTTTTCTCTTTCTTTCCTGAGTTCGGTTCGAGTTCGATACAATATTATTAAAGCGCATGTCTTTATTATTTGGTCTCAGCTAGTTTTGTATAATTTCCGACACAAGCAAATTATATTCTTGACAATTACTAAATTTACTAAAATTGCTAAATAGCCTGATAAGTAATAAGTGATATAAAAATTCGTTTAATTTGTGTTTGCGTTTTATAATAATAATCTACGTTATAAGAATTTAACAATTTTATACAACGACGTTCGATTCGAGTCGCGGATGTTTATTTATCAGCGTTTTTTTTTGTCATCGTAGATGGCAAGAAAATCTTGATTCAATAAATCTGATTAATAATATATATATATTGCATAGGTATAGTAAGTAAATACTATTGGAAATCAAAATATATTCGCTCACTTTATTTCCCAGCAACATGCACGGTATAGGATTGCCGTCAGACTGAGTGCATTTCGTATCCACGTCTTTTTTCCACTTGAGCGAGTTTATAAACGAATTCTTGTTGGACAAATCAAACATGATTACACATCCGTGTGCGTCCTTGTAATACACGCGGGTCATCCACGTAAATCTTTCTTGACCTATAAACACGTGTAAAGAAAAAAATAAAATAAAAACACTGATATATATATAGGTATCTAGCTAATTACTGAAGGCGTTAGTGCAATATTATAATACGCGGAGATGTCTTTAACCATTTTATAATATTTTACAAAAGAGACATCACCCTATAAAATACTTAATTTAAAAAATCAGCTGTGCTACGTATATATAGACTTAAAAATAATATTTTAATTAAAAAATCAGCTACAGAATGACGTAAAAATTGTATTATGTTTTCAACCTTGGAAATTATAATATTATATAGTTATAGCTTACGTAGTGTGGACATACAAATTAATATATAATTTGATACACAATTTCATTTTAAACATTGATAATAAGTTGGTACCTAATTATTGTGCACTAAAGTTTTTAATCATGAGCTACATGCTTGTATTGATTTTACTATGATGTGTACAATTTTTATTTTTAGATTCTGCAAGGCATGTATTGGATCTAAAGCTATAATAAGTTTTGTGTGTGTGTGTGTGCGAAAATCTATTTTTATCAGAAATTTTAATACAAGCGACAAGAGAGCTAATTGGTACTTTGAGGTTGTTGTTTTTAGTTTTCTAAGTAGTTTTCATGAAAATCAGAGGAGATTAAGTTAACCAACCTAACATTTAAAAACATTCTGGCAATTATTAAGCTAGACATAAGCTTATCATTAGACTTTTCCAATGATTTTAGTTTTTATTTGGTTTTATGTGGATAAAATAGTTTGACCGAACCAAAATGCTTGGGAATTAAACACGAGGTTTGTTATAAGTTATAATTTCAATGGTCGAAAAAAGTCAAGCTTAATTATAATGGAGTAGTTTTTTGTTACGTGTTTAAAGTTCAAATTTTAACGTAAATTGTAAAAATAATGTAGCATTTTAAAACATGTTTACTTGAACTTTGCTCAAAATTGTATTTCATCAGAAATGATTTATCATTGTGTACAGATTTAAATTAAATAACTTTATATCAGTGTTTAGAAAGAACACGATCAATTAACGATTTTTTTTTTTGTTCATTTAACGTTTATTTGATAAGAAAAAAGTAATAATAATATTTTCAATGACACCTGGATTACAACCAGGAACCAATCCATAATACGGACTGACAACGACAAGGCGTTTGATTACTGTCAGTCGAGTTTTGAGACTAGGGGTTTTGAAAAGTAGAGAGAATACTGCAAGAACCGCAACGATTTTAGCACTACTTTTCTGAACTATAAAGGATATAAAGGAAAGAACCATAAAATATACGTTGTGTAGTGAGCGTGGCATAATTTATGATATCTAAGGATTTAATGGCAACAATGAACGCGTTCATATTATTGGATAATAAACGAGAATGTGAAGGTATTCACTATTTCAGTGAACGTTTCAAACACTGTTTTATGTATTCTATCTTCTAAACTTTGCACCTATAACAACAGTACATCCATCAGTAGTAACTACTCTTTTTTTCATAGGTCATTTTACATATTTCATAACATGATTTTTTTTTTTTTATTTAATTAAGAATTAGGTATATAAAAATACATAAGTATAAAAATTACATAAATATCAGGAATATTGCAAAAACAATTTGGTACCGTGAAACATACATATATTTACATAATTTAAAAATGCGTATTCCATGTTTAAATTACAATAAAAAAAATAAAAATAAAAAAATAAATGCAAATATAAATAGCGAGTTCCGTATAAATAATTTGTTCTCTAATATATTCGAATTCCTTGTTTGCATTTTAGATTTGTTTTATATTGTACATAAAAAAAGAGCAGCTATATAGCTATTTCAGATGTCAGATGAAATTTTTTATAATTAGAAAACGGGTTTACATAATATGTAAATTCATATTTTTATTAGAAAAAGCTGATGTATATTTGAAACCTAACGAGAAATGTGTACAATTTAAAATTATATTATTAAAATAAACACACCAATTTTATTTTTCATACTTCGAACCTTCGGGGAAAAAAAATAATTTAAAAATCGTACAAAATATTATAATAGTTTAAATAATTTTATTTTCACTTTAAAAAATGTGGTTCATTATTATTGTTATTATTATTATTATTTTTTTGAAAATATAATTGAAAAAATAACGAAATAGATAACTGATCTATCAACTATACAAATCGATATTTAAAAAAATACATATTATTTAGTAACTATATTGTAATTTTAAAAAGCCGGACATACTCGGCACCATGTGCAGGGTAGGACACCGTTGAAGGATGATTGAAGTTGGATAACAAGAGAATAACAAAGCTCGGTAAACTTGTAAGTTTATGTTCAGTGCTTGACTTGGAAAAGTAGAGGTACTCGGATGACACATACAAATTGTGCGTTCCTACTTAATTAAAACCCAAATATTACTGTGACGGGCTTTGCCCTCACACCTCTCTTATGATACCCTTAAACATATTACCATAAACCATGTAAAGAGATAAAAACATATTGAATATTATTACCTGACGATATTTTGAAAAAATTTAACCGTGTTAATTTTTGGTATTTTAACATTATTAACCAACCAATGGAACTTTTTTAAAAATTTTAATACACAATATAAAATCTTAATACTTATAAACATAAACAAAATTCAGATTTTCTTTTACACTTTTCAGGTTTTCTCGTTTTCTCCTATACTTATATTTTTAAAGTTACATCACGAATTTGTAGAATATAGCAGTGCATCTTATATGAAATAGCACGTAAAGTATACTACAGTAGCAAATACGGAATGTATAGTACTTTTTTGAAAACTAATTACTTGTTGCTTACGCTACTTATTTTAGAACTTTAGAATATTCGGAAATTTCCTTCAATAGTATTTTACTTAAAGCAATTTTTAAAATTGTCAATAGTTTATCACCTAAATAATGGCTAAATCATTTATTCAACTGTATTCTCTAAAAAACATTTTTTCGGTTATTAAATATGTTCCTTAATGTTCCTTATTAACAATTAAGTAGGATATTCGATATAATTACCTAATGTTCAAATAAAAGATTATTTTCGTTCGGTTGATCTATATTAATATTTGATTATTAACTATGAAATAAGACAGTTGACAATGGTTATTGGGTACCAAAGATATATTAATATTATGAAAAATAATATGGTGGGTCTTGTGAGTATAGTACGTGACGCATAACACGTATCACAATATGTTTGATTATTAGGTATCATCGCTGTATTAAATTTAAATACTTGTACATATTTTGGAAATCATTTTTTTTTTTTTTTTAGTCGTAACTCATAATTTTTTTTTTAAAAACCAGATTTTTATGGTAAAAAAAGATTTACCTAAAAATGAAATACGTGAATTTAAAAAAAAGATCTAATAGATTAAAAAATGTTTTAAATCCAAAATTAGAATATTTTTTTGTATGGTTACATTGCTTCTCTTGAACATTTTGTAAAAGTGAGTCACGACTTACGACACTTTTCGTTGGGGGCATAGATTTATTCGCACTGTCAGTGCGATAACGCCATATACAGTAGTTAGAAAATAGTCTCCAAAAAAATGTACAATTTTTTATGTACGGCCTTGTTGCACTGATTATATGATTTGTCCAAAAATAGTATTTAGGTTCTCACTTCACTATTCTCACTATACGAATATACGTCATACGATTTAGCAGAGATATGCGAGAACAATTATTATTATTTAAAGTACCCACAAAACAGCACTTTCTCACATAAATTATTAAACCGCAGTACTTATAATAATTATACATTAGTCTTTGTACACTGCAACATATTATAAATTGCGTTGCTGCAAAATCCTCTGTGTGTTAACACATCATAATAGTGTAATGAATACCACTGCAATAATATTGTTACAACTCGGATAAAAAAAAAAATATATATACCTATATTTTTCGATAACGATTCAATATTAACGAAAATATTCTCCGGCAGTTCATTATTGGTATTATTATTTATAATCTTCTTATAAACACGTAATCGATATTATACTCGGATTACCTATCGTGACTATCGCACGTAATAATATTACATACTCGTGTATAGGTTTGTACGACTAAAATTATTATATAAGACCCAAAACAAACCTGCTATATCCCACAGTTGTAACTTTATAGTTTCTGTGTCGGATACTTTGATAATTTTCAACGCGAAATCCACACCGACGGTACCCTTGTATTCCCTGGTGTACGAGTTTTGTACGTATCGTTTGACGAACGCGGTCTTGCCCACGGTCGGATCTCCGATTATGATTACTTTGAATAACTTCTCCGGCATTATGGTATCTGAAACGTATACAAAATCGTAAAATAATATGATAGATGTCTAAAAACAAAAATGCAACAAACTAATTTTGTTTCGTTTTTTTTTTTTTGTTTTGTTCGATAACTTTTTTCACGGTAATACGATCTGCAAAAACCCCCAGGATGTCTTGTAATGCGTATTATTTCTTATAAGAAACGAATTTATTTTGTTTTTCCTCTACATTATTATTATTTTTTTGTTATCTATATAGGTAACGTTAATACAGTAGGGTCGGTTTTGTATTTTATTTCGAAAACTTAAAGAAAACCTTTTAAACAAAGCAGTTCTGCAGTAAAATAAGTTCCGTCTAATGTTACAGTTGTAGGTAAAATCAGCAAATCTAAATTGAAATAATAATATAACAATATTATTCGCTGAATAAGATCGACTTTTAACAAGAAAATATAAGTCTGAATAATGTAATAGTTAAAATATTTTTGACGTAGCGAAAATTTAAAAATCAAATTGAAACAAAAAACTTAACCTAACCGGATCTTATTATTTTTACGAGTCTGTCAATACCTGCTATTACACTATACAGGCGTTACAGGTGCGGCGCTTAATATTTCTTGAGATATCTCTTTTTTTTTTTCTGTTTCTATCCCAATAATATATTATATTGCGCCGTGCACGCACACAACTATAACAAATTATTATATTATACTATAATATTATAGTCTAGTCGGGCAAAATAATATTTACTAACGCGAAAACAATAAAAAACGAAATTATAATAAAAAAAAAAAAACAATAACCGGTTGTTACGTTATAATATTATTATTGCAGTATATTGCGGCGGCGGCAGGCGTCAAAAAAAAAAACAAAAAATAAAACAAAAACAGCGTTGACGCCGCCGAATTCCGATCCGTTTTAGGAAATCGGAATGTTCGTGTAATATATTAATATAATAATAATATTGCGTAAAGTACGCGTCGAATCAATATAATCGTCGGTGGATCGTACGCGACGTTGCGATATTATTGTGTACAGAGAGACGTTAAGGCAATTGACTTGCACTCGAATGGCGCACTCGTAATGTTATAAGTGTACGCGTGCGCTAGTATTTATAGATAATAGTATTATACGTGTACCCATATATATATATTTTTTTTTTTTTAAATCTTATCTTTGTGTACGTCACACGCGTCGACTCGCGTCGTGACAAACGTTCCGATACGACGCGACTAAAATCGTATACATATAGACAACAACGGGTACATAATGATCGTATCCAAATATAAGCCTATTGAAACGGTCGTCGCCGTCGTCATCGAAAACTAATCCCGCATTAACATATGATCGTATATAGGTAGTCAGTATATTATTATATACGTAGCATTATTACGATAATAGTACCGCCGTGACGGTATACGTTTTAGATTCCGGAATATTCGAGCAACGTATATTAGTGGTTTTACAATGATTTTTTTTTTTTTTTTTATCCGTAAACAACTTTTTTACCGGCGATTATGTCCCGATTTTCGATTAAAGCACTTTTTCCGAAAGGGAATCTGACCGGGGCGGTACATAAGGGAGGTCATTTTTTGATTTTCCCGGGAGTTTACAAGATAAATGGGAAAAACCGTAGAAATACGGGAAAATTGATACAATGTTCAACAAACATTATTTAATAAAATATATAATGCATATGTAATATTATTCTACCACAATATGACATAGGTACCTATATATATTGTTGACAAAGAAACACTATTAACCGAACTTCACTCAGAATCGTTTTAATCGTTAATCTTAATCGCTGCGAACAGATATGCATTAAATTTCCACTCTACACTCCCAACTTCTCACCTACAACAATGACCCACCCATAGTGCGAAGTATGTCAGTATCTTTTTATTTTTTTAAATTTAAAACAATAAATAATATGGTAGTGATGTCATACGCGATATACCAGTTATCTAAAAATTTAAAAAAAATCCGATCAATGAACATGTACAATAATAATAAAAATATTTTCAATGGACCGGCGAATTGGTTTGAAACCTTATCTTATTCACCAAATGTCGGTATGACTGACCATACGATCCGTTTTTTCTGTAGCGATAAGTGATATGTTAATTGATTTATATATATAAAGAAATAATAGAAAGATACAAAGATACGTACATACATTGCACGATGGGTGAGGCACTGTTGTAGGTGAGAAGTTGGGAAGGTAAGGGGGGAAATTTAATGTTTATCTGTACGCAACGATTAAACACTGCCTACAAAAAACGATTCTCAACAATGTACAATATAATATATCATATTATGGTAAAATATTTACATATGTGCTATATATTTTCTTTGATCAAATTTGTTTAATAGTGTGCCTATTTTCCCGGGTTTTCACATTTATTATGAAAGCATCTGATAAAATCAAAAACGACCTTCTTAAAGTACTACCCCAGTCAGATTTCCTTTCAGAAAAAGTGCTATAATTGAAAATTGAAGCAAAATTGCTGACAGAAAAGTTGTCCACAGAAACAAAACTAAAATAAATATCATTGTAAAACCAATATATTCTTCGCTACACTCAGAATCTAAAATGAATAGGGCTAGAAAAATGAAATTACTAGCAACACTAAATATATTAAGTATATTGGATGGGCCAGTCACTGAATCAACTATCATGTATCTATTTTAAAATAATTTAGCGGCATGTTTGAGAGAAAAAATTAGAGAGACATACCCCCCTCCCCCAGTGTAGGTCTGGCACACCAAAGGCCTCTCTCTAGACTCTGAAACATTTGTTTTAAAGGGTTCCATAGATAAAAAATTGATAGACCGTGCTAATTAGAGCGGCATGGGATCGAAATTCGGTGTTATGACCTTATGGGTCAATAATAATTCTGAAAATAACAATGAATTTTGTAGTGATATTATATTAATATAATATTGTATATACATATGTATTCACAAAAGTGATTTTGTCGCGATATTTCAGATTTTTTGTAGTTTGTATAATATACATTTACTCACTCACACAATTACTAATAATAAATTATTATGTCTATGTGCATCTTAATCTCTGCACATAAAACAGTCAGTAGTTAGGTGATAAATTATAATATTTTATAAATCTTAGAGCCTGAGGAGTTCCCAGATACGTATACGACTGAAAGTCCCAGCCGTGGTTTAGGATTTTTACTGGCCCAAAATTATATAAAATAGATTAAATTAACAAAAATGTACGCATAATTTTGTGCGGCTAACCAAGATTTTCTTAGTAGACCGCCGGTTCAACCCAGACCCGATAGTCAGGCTGACACTTCCCCTCCCTCTCCAGAACAATTGAAACAACATTTTTTTTTGAGTACCTATCATTCCTCCTCCTGCCTACCCAAAAAATTGGTGAAAAAAAAATTATGGTAATGTGTAACATTTTAGAGCTGTTCGTTTCCAAAATAATTGTCAAAAAAAATTGTTTTTTTGTTGAAAAAAAAGTCAATGCTTTTTGTAGTAATAACGATAACAGAATCACCATATTATGCACAGAAAAAAACGGGGAAAAAAAACATGACTTTCTTTGAAATGACGAGGTAAACGCGTACGTCAACAATAATATATAATAATGCAAATGTCATTGTGTGCCGTATAATATAATTGAAACGTCTGAAACACAGCTCTCGACGAGATAGAAGAGTCGAAACCCACGAGAATATAATGGAAACGTAAATATACGCGTGTATTATTACGAAGTAGGTACGCTATAGACAAATATTATACAATTTTATTTAAATCGTTTTCATCTTTCAATTTAGTCGGTGTCGTGTGAATAACGAACGGAAACGTCACAAACACCGAAGCACGTGACTATTATAATCAAAGGGCAGCGTTTAAAATAATTTTATATAAGAACGTTGATTGTCACGATTTTAATTATTATAATTGTACTGAAAAATAATAATTATTATTATTATTACTATACGGAAAATAATTAATCATAATTCATCATTATATAAACGAAACGATATGACGCGTATCTATTATTATGTTAATCAATGCAATTTTCTTTTTTTTTTTTTAATGAAATCATATTATTATACGAAATGAAAAATAATAAAGAAATCGACGAAGCCGATGATTCATTAGAATTGTTATTGATTTTAAGTGAATTTGATTTATGTTTTTTTTTTTTTTGTTTACCATAATGGGAATTGTTTATTTATTATTTTAACACTATTTTAAAATTTTTAATATCGACTCCTTGTACCTGTATTGTATATTCACTTTGGGTTTTTAAATAACAACCACCTCCGATCAATCACAGAATATTTTTCTAGAATTATTAATATCCATAACACTTATACCAGATTTATCATTTATGAATTATACTAGTTAAAAATTTAGATCAAAGAAGCAGGGGAGAGTTATCAATTTAACATTTGAAAACAGATATGCAATGTATTATCCTTCTCTACGTCTCTAGTCTTGTAATGTTATGCTCACGCAACATGTATACAATTATTTATATTTATAAACGTGGGACTAAAAGATTTGGATACGGCCGAGTACTTGGTATTTAGTAAAAAAACAAAGTTGTTGATATAATAAATACAAGGGGCATTTGTTATTCGAAAGAGAAATACATAATTCTACGATCGTAGTCAAAACATGATAATATGGTTAGACAAATAAAATGCACATGGCGGTTGGCACGTCTGTGACATCACCGCCGCCGTAGCGTAAACAAAATTATTACTAAATAAAAAAGGGATTTCATGATCAACGGATCGCCATTCATAGATTCCGAAGCGTAAATCTCTTAAATAAAAAAATAACGGGTTTTTCTTGATGTCTCGAACGACTCGCCCGCGCGAGAAATCTGGACAACAATTCTGTCGAGAACCCTGCATCGAACACATACTGTCACTACCACCTTTTTTTTTTTTGTATATCTCTCTCGAATAGCCAACTCTGAATTTTAGCAGCTATAATCACTTGTGTTCAATTTATTTTATACATTTATTTTAATTATTCAACCTTTTTTCTATCCTGATTTAAACATTAGCATTTACTATCAGAGTGCACGCAGTTTTTAAGTATTAAGATTAATTTAGATTATTTTGATTGAATTGTAACTGTCGTCCTACAATTCCAGGATCACGTGAGGACATCTACGATTGATAACCCTAGCGTTCTAACTCCGTGGGCGGATAAAACAATAATAATCTCTATTTATTGACATCATCATTATTCTCGAACTCACGACTCCGTAGCCTTTCGAACAGTAGTTGGAAGATAACAATTCAAATACCAGATTTAATATAAGTATCAAAATAAAACACCCAGTTTATTCTATTATTATTTATACCATCATACTATTTATTTACCCCTGGTTTACCCCTCTTTTTTTAAATTGCTACATTCTTAACATTTTAAACTGATACAACTCATAAACGGTAAATTCTATTTAAATCCGTGATTGATAGGGGATGTGGATTGTGATTTGAAATTGATACTCATGTAAGGGTAAAAAGTGAAAAGTTTTTCAATAAAGCTTTAACGATTCCATAATTATTAAAAGAACAGAAATCAAATTCACTTAAAATTCTTCGAGAAAATTGTAGATGATTTATAATAAAAGAATCACTTTGATATATATAAATATATTCCCCGTACATTTGGACACTTATAGTGGCTCTTACCGGACCAAGAAGATTTTTTACTATAGGTGGATTGAATTAAAATAATTTTGTTTTAATTTAAATATTTTCCCTTCTTTCCCAGCTGAACTTCAGAGTTCTCTCTCGTTTTTTGCGTTCTCACGCCCCCTTTTTGTCCCGATACATTCCACGAACTTTGGTCGTAACCATTCCTTAAATCGTATGATGCAATTGGCTAACGAAAACCCCTCTTTTTTTAAATTTCTAAATCTGCATGTTTTAGTATTAATTTAATGTTTCTTTTGTATTACTTTTGTAAGCTACCCCCTTTAAATAGTATTATGTTTAATGTTTAATGTCTATGTAATATTACTTGTATTTATATGCGAAATTGCCTGTTGTGATATTAATAAATAATAATAATATGAGCTTCACCATGATTTTGTGGGATAAAGTAGTTTTTTGGCCATTTACACTCCTACAGACCTCTTAAATGAAGCTAAAAGGATAACATTTGTACGTGCATGGTGTAAGTATTAAGTATATGCCTTATGGTGATTTCAACTTTTAATCCCATCTCCAACCATTATTATGCTCAGATTTAATGTTTTCACAGGTTTAAATTGTTCTTACAGACCCATAAAAGTAAGAAACTTAAAATACAAAATGTATATAATATGTAAACAGTAGTGGCGGTTTTTACTAAACAGAATTACTATCGAGAATGTGCCTTTCGAAAGTTTGAGTTTCCGATTCCTGACCCCACCGTCTGTATGTATGCGAAAATCACTACTTTATCTATTTCGATGAATTTTTTTTGTTCAATTCCTTACTATTATAAAAAAAAACATAAAATATTGTTATAAGTCAGCTTGCAGAAATTCGACTCAAGTGACGGATAGTGTAGATCGATGTAAAATATTTCAAAACTAATAATTTGATTTAGGCTGAACATATTATTATTATTATTATTAAATATAATATACCTGTCGTACCTAATCATAATTCTTTAAAACGTGCGTTTTATATTAAATAACGATAATGATATTATACATTATGTCAAAATATTATTGTCTTCAGCGTCTTACGTGTCTGTACTAAAATACGATACGATCACATATGTAAATCTTGTATACTATTTGCGTACGCTAAAATATAAACACATCAACACGCCGTGGTCGATAAAACAATATTATAATAATATGAAACGTAAACGAAAATCAACAGGACGGTGCAGAAATAACCTCTATCGAACAGCATACAACACTGCTTCGGCGAACGCTCTGTATACAAGTAATGAAATCTAAAATCATTTTGCACAAATTGCATTTACGTAAATACAAGTGTTATAATTATTATATTACGCATTTTTGCTAGTGAACCATATACCGAAATTATAATATATTACACATAAAATAGGTAAAAATAAAAATCTTAAAAGAACGAACAGTCACAAAATATTATAAAATAAAATCGAAAATACTGAATTGAAAAACTTTATATTGATACAAGACATTAAAAGGTAATCGATTTTTTCTACACGGATTTTACTTGAAAAAAAAAAATAGTAACATTTTAGTAGATCTTAAAAAAATCTTTACTAATATTTTTACTACTTATTAACAATAAAGTATAAATATATAAAAAGTTTAAAGTCTAGTTTAACAATTTATACAAATTTATTTTTCGTATAGGTAAGTACCTTAAATTATAATATATGGTCTAAATTGTACCTATATTGAAATGTAGGACTGTCCTGCATGAAGTTTAAAAAGACTTTTTGGATGTTGGACAAAATACAAACAAATGTAGGACTGTCCCACACAATATAGGACTTTCGGCAACTCTATAGATGTAATAGGGATACCAATTAAGGGGACGATGAAGGATGATTACGATATATTATATGTAAAGATGACCACTTATATATGCTTAGAAAATATAAGTAATGAAAACAGATTTGCCCATCTCGGTGGCCGCTGGGTTTTAACATGGAATTCCGATTGTAATAATAATTACAATATAAGAGCAGTTATAGTAAACATTTGTCATAAAATACAGTAACATGTGACAAGGACAACGCATTATAACAGGTAATATTTCTGGATTTTCAGTAATACCTACTAGTTATACCTATTATTTTCTATTAATATTTTTTTAAAAATTGTAAATGTAATAATGTCTGCGTGCATGGGCGTACTCACGGAGGGGGTTTCATGGGACTTAACCCCCCATTAACCGGGGTTTTTTTTTTTGTAATTAATTCGTTTTAAATCAATATGTAAAGGATGTGAAAATGCATTGTATCGTATAGTTTATATTTACAATTGCAATATAAATATATTTGTTGCATCAAAAAATGATTGATAAGTTATTAAAAATAAAAAGCGCATTCAATTTTATATTGTTAATTTTTTATAAAATAACAAGTGCATTAAATTTTATATTGTTATTTATTTTATATCATAATTATTAAAAATAATATTAAATGTCATAACTAGAGGGATATGCGCCGATAGCCCCTTACATATTTTTCTAGAAATTACCCACAGACCCCCCCCCTAAATTGGAAATTCCTGAGAACGTCACTGTCTGTGTGTGTTATAAAGGACTCATTATGATAGGGCGTATCGTGTTCAGTTACCCAGCAGGCCTGTACAGGTCTGAATATAGGTATATATAATTTAAAATCTTAATCTATATTTAATTTTAACTCTTTAATGTAATACAATATTATATACTATTATAGGTACCTCTCAGATGAAAATCACTGAAGTTATAATTTTCGGGAGTTGAGCGTGATGCGTTTGACCTGCGAGTACAAGTGGACGATTTGTCATGGTCGTTCCGATAACTTTTTTTTTCTTCCAGATTCGTTTCACCGTCAATTACGAACTGGGTCTTTAACAAAGACATAACATACTCAGTTTTCGCCAATAGAATAACAATTTCGGTCCTACCGTAATATTATTGTCTTTTATTTTTTCAAACCTGGAACAAAAATATAAAATCATATCAGCAAACTTGTTTAAATTTCTAAACAAACCTGTTGGTATAGTAGGTAATATCATGGTTAATTTTGATTTATTGTACTTATGTACTTATAATATATGTATATAATATCGACGGTAAAAACGTTAATGCCAAAAAAAAAAAAAACGAACATGTGGATTATAGTATTGTATAATGATTTTATTATTAATAATGTTACATTATAATAGTATATAATGAATAATAGTTATATCAAATATATAATAAATAATAATAAAGGCAAACAAAATAGCCCAAATAAAAATATAATAATATTTTATTAATATAAATATAAATAATTGTTTCGCATTTGCTGATATATATTTGCTGATAACCCTGAATGATGATTTTTTTTTTAATTAACACCGATCGTGATTACACACAATCGGTATTTTTCTATGTATATTTATTTATTTATTTCTCATTTAAATGAGAAATATATATGTATATTTTACATTTATTTATATATATAATTGATATTTTATTGGATATTAATCAAAATTAACTTGTTTTTTTAATAATATAATGATTGCCATATGGTGTAAGTAATCGAAAATAGTGATGAACAATAAATAATGATTGATGTAAAAACCACTATCGATTTTTGCAATTACAATTATTATATTTTACAAACAATTAATTTCAAATTGTATTGCGTGTAAGTACCTGCTATAACTGTTATGTTATACCTATTATGCGTAAGTCTGTATAAACTTTACAAACGAGTAAAATATCGCATTAGTATAATTGTTATATTATTTTTTTTTGTATTCTTATAAACAAACATTAAATTATAGCGAAGAAAAAATGTAAAAAAATGTATGACGTTTAAACATAATATTTTCTTTGAACGTTCAGTTTATGACCACCTACCTATAAATATATATTGGAAACAAATACTACTTTAATAGGACTTTATTTAACATCATAATATGACATTATACTGTTTGTTTAAACAGCTGGTGCTCAATAAAGTAAAATGTGTTGATACACTTAATAATTTAATATAACTACCTAAATTAATTTAACGAAACTTTATTCGTTTTTCAGCAAACCTGGGGAAGGAATTAAAAATAACACGCTTTATACCGCAATAATGAATAATACGCACAAAAAGTCCCATAAATGTTTAGATAAAAAATTGAACACGGAATCTAAGTGCTTAAAAAAATTATTTTTCACATTTTAGGCACTCATTTTAAATCAATAAAAAGCGATTAAATTTGAGTAAGCAAGACTGCAGATTACGTATTCGAAGTATAACAAGTTTTGTTTTATAAACTATGCTTTTTCAAAACGAGTTACCTAATATATTAATAATATATAGTGCGTAATCAAAATTACTATTACTCATATAGTGTATATAGTGTATATATATATATACTCACTTTGTGAACATAATATCTATCAATGTTTGTTAAAATAAAAGACCCCACTTGAACAAACAAATTATACAAAAACCATCCGTTCCTCGTAGTTTTTATTTTAATGAAATGATTTATGAGTTCGTATACAGTAAGTATATAGCATCATAAAATTGGATATGCGTGTGTGTTTTTTTTGTATAAAATAATAGTATGAGACATAATGTTGTTCTGAACAATATTATTTTGTTCATTTATCTACGATAAAATAATAAATTAGAGGACCGGCTTTCCGAATTTTCTTCATCATTGTAAAGTTTGAACATTATTTTTTCTTTTTACTTCCAATAATCTACTGCCCGATACACGTTTAGGGGAAAGGGAACGGACATTTTTACGGACAAATATGAAGTTTAGACCAATAAGCTGGAGTATTTTTTTCCTACGGTTTGTAGGAAATATTGTTTCATTTTGTATTTAGTTATAACGTATTATGAGTTAACCTTTTTTTCATCAAATAAACTTGTAAGTAGTTAAAAGTGTCTCGAAATATATTTTTCAACAAAATATAGAAGATAAGAGTGTACGAAATGAAATCATTTTTCAAAACAAAAATTAGATTACTGCAGAAAGTAATAAGTTTATTTTACTCCGGATTATTGGTCTAAGTATATGAAAAACCGAAAAACTTTAAACCGCCTTAATGCGAATTATACGCGACGGTATCGGATCTAAAAAAATAGTTAGGTACCTAATAAAAAAATGATTACCATTGTATATAACAATATAATACTTGTATTACTTTGCCTTCATTTCACCGGGGATTTATAGCTGAAGAGATTTTTGGACAAAATATAGAACGTAACTATACGTATGACTTAATTATTTTTTAAGCTTATCCTTCACTTTTATATCTTAAAAAAAAATAATAATAATAATAATAATAATAAAATCCGAGTAATAACCGGTATAGGTATTACACCGACCGAACCGGCAAATTTTATAACGAGATTGAAACCGAAATTGCCAGAGGCGAATGAAAATCGAAATCCGTCGCAGTACATTTAAACATAATTCTCGGCGGAGGCGTGTCTTTCGTATTATTCGACGGGAAAGCGTATTAATTCGAACAGTGTAAGCATTGCGACTTTCCCGGGACCATACGGATTCCCCGCGCGGCGACCGTTTTTCAGCATAATAAATACCTATAGAATAACAATATTCAAGATGGTTCGGTATTCGAAACACGAGAGATCCGTTGTCTGTAAAGTGCCTATAGTTAGATTCTACGTATACCCGCGCGTTTTCAGACAATTATTCCGAAACGGGTTGACGTTTGAAAACCGAAAGTAATCGTCTTATCTACGCGTTATACACAATAAGGGTGACAAAAATGCACTGTGAAGAAAACGTCAGTCGAGGAGACGTTTCTCGGAATGGCGAATAGCGTTCCGCGTAACACGGATCACTATGTATAACGTTATAATATAATATAACGTACATAATAATATTATATATATATATAAATATATGTAAAGTGAGCGTGTGTGTGTGTGTGTGTGTGTGTGTGTTGTATGCAAGACAGATAGACGGAGAAAACTCGAAATGGTTTATAATATTATGCGTCTGTTATGCGTTCAATTCGAAGTCATTAGCGTACGCGGAACTTCTAATAACTATTGTATTTTATTTCGCATCATTTAACCGTGCTTTCATGCGCGTACACCTATTGTATAATACCTGTACAATATGTGTCGCGATGTAAACACATTGTCGCGTTTGAATGGTGAACGCTCTAATAGAGAATCGATAAATTATGATTTGATATACGTTTAATTTTAGCCGAATAACGCTAAATACAGAAAAAAAAAAAAAAGAGCCGATACTGGGGACGGGAGCGGCCACTTTTGTAGGTGGGAAGTTGAGAAGGTAGGATACGTAAGGTTATTTCATTTATATCTGTAAGCAACGATACACCAACCATTGCTGACGAAAGACGATTCCGAGCGAGCGCAGTTCGATAATACATAATTTGAAGTGCCGTCATTTTTTTTTTTTTTTTTGCGATTTTCGTTGAAATTTGATTTCGTAACGCTTATTAAAAAAAAAATTCAACATACATCATGGTCTCTTGTCGTTTTTCGATTGGAGCCATATTTGTGCATGAAAACGTGGTAGGGGCACTTATTTAAAATAACGAAATCGTGAAAACATCGTATTTTTTTCCCCCGGTTAATCGTTTTTATTTTTAATACCGTTTCGAAAATCAAAAAAATCATCATTGTATTTACCAAGTAGACAAAATTTACTTTCAGAAAAGGTGCTACACTTATACATCGGAGCAAGTTTTCTAGGATAAGAGTGGTCTACAGTATATAAAAAAACAAACCAAGTAAACAATTGTAAACAAATTAAAAAAAGGAAAAAAAGTCGTCCGATAATTTTGGAAATTTTACCACATCTAGGTAAGTCCAATATAAGTATCATTATCAAGTTTTAAGGATTTACGTGTATTTATTACCGAATCGCAGTAAAAAAACTTCCAAAAATTAAAATTCCTTAAAAGCTCAAAAATGATTCAAAACTTTTGGAAATTCAAAAGAACACCCTTCTCTCCCAACAACACGGTAAAGTTTGAAATTTAACCAACATTTTGTCACTTCAATCCGTCAATAAAAAAAAACTCTAATTTACGAGTTGAGTTCTTTTGATCCAGAGGGAGCCGATAAAAGTGTCCAAATGTACAGGAAAAAATATATATATATATGTTCAATCCCCATGGATGATTTTTTGCCTATTCCATGAAATGTCCAAGTGAGTGGCCTAATTTATAGAATGCGCAAAATGTGGCTAATCAAGTGTCCATTTCATAAATTGACAAATACTAGTCATATACAAATATTTTCAATATATATATAAATGTTAATATGATATTTTTAATTATTTATTTATTTTAGATTCGGAAAGATAGCGAAAAATGCATTCGTTTTATTATCATGTATGTTTTATAACATATAACTTTAAGTATCATCCAATCTAAAACAGTGGCACAACCATTTTTTTTTTTAATTTTCAGGACATCTGGGTCAAGATTTAAATTCTTCAAAAAATTACTTTTTCAGCGCCGTCACTACAGCAGCGTTAAATTATTTATTTAAAAAAAAAAAAAACCTTTTTATAATATAAAATAAGGTCACACCGACCAAGATGTGTAATTAAGAAGAATAATTTGAATAGATAATCTTATGTTAATATATAAGTTGTTTCTTGTGTTCTCTTTTTTTGTCATAATATTCAAAGCAGGGCAAGTTACTCGAAATTTTTAACTCATTAAAAGTTAAATTACTTATTATAACAAAAACAATATTAGATTGGACGTTTTTTTTTTTTTTAAGTTTACGAAATTTCCAAATTAGTAACATTCGAATAGTTATTTGAAGAAAATTATAACTTAAGTTGGATTAAAAAAGTTGAGTAAGATTTTTTTAAAAATAGATAACCTAGAAACCCCAATTAACTTACTTAACAAAATTGTAAACTTAACTTTGATTTCTTATAAAATCTTGGTTTTATAAGAACACTATTACTCATTACAATACTAATTATTTTAAAGTTACAGATGATAATATAGTTGCTAAATCTTAAATGTATATTAAAATCTATCGCACAAATATGTTTTTTTTTCTGTGTGAAAAAAAAACTTAAAATTTATTAGCATGAAAAACTGCGTCATCTGTTTTACGTTTTTATACATTTATTATCATCTATATCGGAGTTTAATGTATTTTAAAATGTGTTAACATACTAGCTATGACGACGCAATCATTTTTCTAGTGTTACGCATACGCACGATTCGTACATGAATAAGATTGCAGTGATTCCAGATTCCCTATATTATACTATACAGAGTGTTCCACGAAGATATACCCATTTTAATATCTTCGAAGATAAAAAAGATTCTGATTTTTTTTTTAACATAAATTACAGAGATAAGAGCTATTTATTTTTCAATTATTTTTTTCTCTTTCGGTAAAATAACTTTTTGTTATTATTTTTGAAATATTTGAAGATAGCTATTTTATAAGGTTTATTCTTCTGAAAATTTTAACGTATCGTCTTTATTTTCATTAAATTCGTGATTTTTAATAATTTTTTAAAGTTAAAAAAAAAAATACCTATAATAATGCAACGGATCGCAATCACATTCTCTAATTGATTATAATTATTATAACTAATTGATGTACAATTGTCTTACACTATTATATTTAATATAACTTTAAATTCAGAAAAGAGGCCTACTGCATAATATCTATATGTGCATTTCTTTTAAGTAATTATTATAAATCACGATAACTCAATGAAAATAAAAAGTTGAACCGTCGAAATTATTAGAATAATAAACTCTATAAAATGTTTATTTGAATGGCCGTCTTTTTTTTTTTTCTTTTTTTTTTTTGGAAACCATGCGTATAACCGGACTTCATTTCGAATCGTTTTTTTATTAATGATGGTTTATCGTCGGTTACAGGTACAGATTAACTAACTTTTCCCATTTTCAATTATTCTTCATCATCACCAGACAAACAAGAAATAGGTTAATCAATAAGTCGACCGGGGTAAAATTCGACTTTAGTAACGGGGTTCTGCTGCTCGTGTGTGTGTTTTTGTTTGTACTTTGTGCGAGGTTATCATTAGCACGCACATTTTGCAAATCGTACGTCTTATTACATTGCTTGCTCTTCCAAGGCGATTACTTTACTTTAATATCTACGACCACCAACGCTGTATAAATATTATTCTGCATACATAGAATATTCGAAATGTTAGTACACGTTTGAAACGGAGATCAAAGGTCTGGAAAACAAACATCGTATACACGAGATACATTTTATGTACGACTCCGAATATCATATTATAATACTGTATCAACGAATAATAATATCAACGGAAATTAAAGAATATTATAATATTACAACGACAACGACGTGATATTATTAAAAATTTGTAACCGTATTGAATAATATATTATTATGTCTGTATGGGTATATTATACCGGTTGTGTTACATGGGCATTTTTTTTTTTTTTTGGAAGGGGGGTTGATATGAATGTTTACTAAAAATATCAAGAATAAATTATAACTAATAAATATATATATAGGTACTATATAATATATTGTAATTTGATTTACATTTAACATTATAATAAACGAAAAAATATTGATAATGCGCATCGCTTGATATTTTAAATTTTGTATTGCGAGTGTAACTATATAGTTATTGAACAAATGAAAAATATGGTCCGGGTTCTAGACCTTTTCGGGAGGTGATATACAGTGTGTCTCGTTTTAAATGTACCACTAAATATCTCAGCCCGATAATCTTAGATTGAAATACGGTTTGCTACAATAGCTAAGGGGTACTGAAGTACACATTTAAGGACAAATTTCAAATTTTTAACTCTTGTAGTATGTGCATGCGCAATACAATTTTTTTTTTTTAAATTGCAACACCTATTTTTGTCACCGGATATGAATAGATTATTTTATTATAAGTAATTTTGATCCATTGACCATAGTTCTAAACCTAAAATTTAATGAGTTACAGCTTTTTGAAATTTTAAAATAATTAAATTTTTTCGATTTTACCAAAAACATTACACGCTTGAATTGAGTGATTTTTTCATAGATTTTAATTAAGAATGTGAAGTAGGTAATTAAATAAAAATTACTCCGTTACATTGTTTTGACTTATGTTTATTTTTTTTATCTAATAAAATGTTCAAAATTTCCTCCGTTTTTTTCTAAACACAATTCCAGTCGACGACTCACTTCTCTATAGGTTGCTGCCAAAATCTGTTCTTTTGTTAATTGTCTGCACGCTACCGTTATTTTATTTTTTAAATCCTGTAAGTTTGCTGGTGGTTCTGCATAAACAACAGTCTTTAAATGGCCCCATAAAAAAAAGTCTAATGGTGTTAGATCAGGTGACCGTGGGGGCCATTCCACTACGGCCAATAACGGTTATTCTGCTTATTTAAAACACCATTATTGGTAAACTTTGATTCATCGGTCCACAAAATGTAATTTAAAAATAATGGGTCGTTCTTTGTACATGTTGTTATCCATGCAATAAATGTTAATCTATGTTCCTTATCACCTTGGCGTAAATGTTGAACTAGATCAGCCCTATAAGGATGTAACTTGTATTTTTTGAATATTTTGTGTACCTTTGTTTTTGAAAAGCCAAATTCTCTAGCAACATGTCTTAAAGATGAGTGAGGATTTAATTGAATGTTATAAAAATAATCTACTATTATCAAAGTACTAATAATAAAACTGGAAAAATGTCAATAACTTTTATCGCACAATAATAACACAAATTACGTCATTGTCAATTTAGTTGGTAAATTAATTTTTAAATTAATTAAATGCATTTCATTTTAGTTTAAAAATGATTTACTTTTGTATCAAATTCAAGCGTGTAATGTTTTTGGTAAAATCGAAAAAATGTAATTATTTTAAAATTTCAAAAAGCTGTAACTCATTCAATTTTACGTTTAGAACTATGGTCAATGGATCAAAATTACTTAAAATAAAATAATCTATACATATCCGGTGACAAAAATAGGTGTTGCATACTACAAGAGTTAATAATTTGTCCTTAAATGTGTACTTCAGTACCCCTTAGCTATTGCAGCAAACCGTATTTCAATCTAAGATTATCGGGCTGAGATATTTAGTGGTACATTTAAAACGGGACACACGGTATAAGGCACGCATCACCCCCCCACCCCCCCTTCTTTGAGATCGCGCAACTGGTATATACATGGACATCCATTGAGGGGCTCATGGAGGAGAAATGTCCCCCCCTAGCTTTTGGGTGTTTGTTATAAATGTTTACATAAAATATTATAATTTATATGATATACATTGAATACAAATGAAAAATTGATTATCATATATGGTAGGATATTATTTTCACTAATGGTTTCCCATCGGTTGTTGACGACATAATTGAAAAATCAAAACAACGAAGAACTCGAGAATTTATTTTAACTAATATTCCGTCTATTTACGTGCTTTTAAATTCAGATAACCGTTCGAAAATCAAAATTGGAAATAGTGGTTTCACCACCGAAAATAATAACGACGAAATAACAACGTGAACGTGAAAATATCGCAGGGCCGCTTGTCGTTTTCCGGAATGTTCTGGAAAACGAATTCCGAAACGGGCCGGTACTCTCCGAGCACAACGAGTGTACCCGCGCAGAAATGGATCGCCCGCGGGTGTACCCGGCGCGCGGGGACCGTATAATATTACCCGCGTGCATTAGTACCGCGTATATTATTCGGTTATTAGACGCGTTTCGACGTATTTGTATCGCGCGCGCGCGTGTGTGCGCGTGTGCGTGTGCATACACGCGGAATAACGATAATAATTAATTTTCCGAACATTCGAATACACCGAATACGAGCGTACTGTGGTATTACGCATTATTAATAATAATAGGTAGGTACCGTCGTCGCACGTATATAATGTACACATTGCTACAACGTGTACCGTATATATATATATATATATCGTTACACGCGCCGCACGATCAAACGTACCTCCATAATACCCCGCGGTACAGTAGCACCGTGTAGGAGGTGAACGCGGTATACACGCCGCGCGTGTAATCCGTTCGATTGTGTTTCCGATACGTGTCGGCCGCAGTAATGTTATTATTATTATTATCATTGTCGCGCGCGTGTACGTACGTCGGCGATGATTGTGTTACACATTTCCGCGGCCTTTAATCGTATCATTATCATTATTATCGCGGGTACACACACAGGTTTCCGGGGTGCCCGCGTTCCGTTTTCGCGTTTCGCAACGAGCACGGCGGCACATCAAACGACGGCGCGGGCGCGCGGACGTCAAACGCACGGTTCCCGGTAATCCTTTTGGCAAAATGTAAAACGCCCGATCCCCGTCCACGTCCCGCACGCCGCCCGTACCGTACAACGCGCAAAATGGCGCACGAAATCGCAATCGAACAACAAACGGCCAAAAACGGGGTTACAAATACGTTCGCGCGGTGCGGGTACAAACGGCGTTTGAACGCGCGCGCTCGCTTCCGTGTTGTATTGTACATATGCCCGTGTCGTTAGTTTCGCCGTCGGCTACAATGCATTAAATACCGTCAAAACAATGCAATGACGGTTTGAAAATCCGCGGAAGTAAACGGTTACTTCCGCGTACAACGTTAATATTTAATATGGTGTGCGTAAAACGTTCCCGGCGTCTTATGAAATGCCGATACCCGCCGCCGGTAAACGCGCGCTATTGCAGGGGCGGGCCTGCGTCGGATGGCCGTGTACGCGTGTATAGCGCAGTACAGAAAGGATTTCATATTTTCGTCTGTATCCGGCAGCGGTGTTATCATCGGAATCGTATTTGTTCCCATCTTCACGGGAAATCGACGAAAACCTAAATGGAAATTCGCCGGTTTATTTCCGTTTTATGTATGGAAAACGGCGAGGAAAATATTAAAACATCACCGCCCCCGACCAATACATTTCTATATTGATTAAAATTTAAGAAACATTACTGTGCATAGCTGCAGCGGGTATAGGGCAACGGGCGGCTCGCGGAGAAGGCCGCTAAAATATTGTTTTAATTTAACACGGCTGTTTATTGTTTTCTTAATAATTTGCCTATGCGTAAATCTAGCGTCTGAACGTATAATATAGTCTGTTTTTATGATGTATTTGGTATATTTGGTGTATTTATTGTAATATATATTATAATCAAATTGTGTTTTTAACAGAATTTAGGTTTAGATTGTCGAGTGGGATTTCTGCAGATTGAAAAATTGTAATAGACAGAAAAAAATAAAAAAAAATAAAACGCATAGTGAAACCGATTCGCTCAGAATCTGAAATTGAGAAAACTGCACGCATCTGTCGTCCACTATTATATATATATATAAAAAAAAAAAGAGGACTAGAGGTTTTTCCGATCTTGATGAAATTTTGCGCGCTTAACAAACAAAACAAGAGGAAGTCCGCTGTCTATACGTGTTGCTCCGAAATTGCTATCTTAAAGAATGGCTTACGCTTGATTTATGATATTTGAATACAAAAAAAAAAGACGTTCTAGAATAATGGGGACGGATACAGCCACTGGTTGTAGGTAATTTATTGTATACTTGTAAGTAACGAAAAACCATTTCTTACGAAAAAATGATTCTGAACGTAGTTCAGTTGATAGTGATGCTTTATCAACAATATATACGACATATTATAGTAAAATAATTAAATACGCTCTATATATTTTTTTTTGATAATACTTGTTTAATGTTATACCGATTTCCCTGGTTTTCCTACGTTTTTTCCGGTTTTCCTATGTTTTTTCCCAGTTTTTCTCATTTAACGAGAAAACTCTTGAGAAAATCGAAAAATCACCTCTACATCGATTTACTTTCAGAAAAGGTGCTACACGTAAAAATCGGAGCAAGTCCTCTAGTAGAAAAGTTGTCAACAAAAAAAAAAAACATATTTGTAAAATCATAAGTTTCTTCGCTTCACTCAAAATCTAAAATTGAATTAGTCGACTCCGGGTTAATTTATTTTTATTTTATTTAGTTGTTAAGACAATAAAGTTCCGTTTTCATAAAATAAATTAATGAAAAACAAACCGTTAGCTGTGATAGCAATAAGAGTGGAAACGGGTAGACTCGTTTAATTGAATTTCTTTTAATGATTTCTGCTTTTGAAAGGGTTCATAACAATGAAGTTCCTCTTTTTAAAATATTAATTATTGGACAACAAACGGTTAACTGTGATTGAGGATAAGGGTCGAAATGGGGAGACACAATTGTTTTAATTTCTTTAATTGATATCTGTTTTTGAAAGGATTGGGCATAGGAAATACGGAGCAATCAATCTAATATTATTGTAATATATAATACTATAGCTGTCCCGTCGTCCCAAATGAATAAAAGAATGTAAAATTTAAATATGTCTCCGAGGAATAGCTGGTTTTTCAAATTTTTATTTCATCCGTATTACCAAGTTAAGCAAAAAAAAAAAAACTGTTATATTTGTGGACACAAAAAAAAAAAACAAAAAAAAAAAACAAAAGCTCAGTGTCAGCTACCAATCAGGAGATGATTTTTTGAAATCCGACGTTGTGGTGTACATGGATCCCGTTTATTCGAATATCCGATTCTGTATAATGACAATTTTCAGACCTTTATGTATTTGATTCCGGTTGTAAATCACATTCAAATAGACAGACTAATAACAAACACATCATTTGATTAATATAAATATATCCGTAAATAAATTATATGTCAAAAAAAAATAATAACTTGGAATTTTTCACAGAATTAAATAGTGCAATATCATATGAGTTTTCGTAGATAAGACATTATTTTTAAGGTCTTGTTCGATTTAGACGAATTTAAACGATTTTAGGCTCTTTTTCTTCAATATTTTTCAATTTGAAACAAGACCATACATCCATCAGAAATTAATAAGTATTTATTATTTTGCAAAGACTCCACACAAAACTTGTAGTTTAATAATACTTTATGATTATAGGCGCTCGCATCACGGGTACATAGTATGGCTGTTGAGCTATTTTTTTCTGTACACGTGGACCACGATGAATATATCTAAATTTGTGTTTAAAATGAATATATTCGAATTAAATTAAATTACATTAAATTATCTTTGTTATTGGTAGTTTTATTCGATAACGTTTCCTGAAATAACCTGCATTTTCTTTATGGTGTACATTGACCTTTATTCGGAAGGCTATAACGTACGTATATTTTGTTTTTTGTAGCCTCCCTCCACCAAAGTCTTAAATCTCGTGTAATAAAAATTAAAAAAAATAATAAAAACTGAGAGTGTAATAGTTGTGCCTAGTATAGTAACGGCGATGTGACCTGTGAAATGGACGGATTATCAGATTAAATTCAACCATTACACGATCCGGAAGACCCGAGAGCGCCTATATATTATAATATTCTAGTTTTAGATTTACTACAGTCCTAAGCCGTTACTGCAGCGGTACAGTAAACATTGTTGGTGCGATTAAAAAGCGTTCCGAGGGAAATAATCAAAACGTGTCTGATGGAATAAGAGGGATCGCCACGTGTTAAACGAAATTAATCGGTATTAAAATTAATCCAGCCATCGGTATATACCATCAACTACCTACGCGTAATACGCTTAACTGGTTCAATTTAAATTCGGAACATTCAACACTGACGGCAGAGAGTCACACGCGGCAGATCGGTAAATTTCGAACAAATTGTCTGCTCGAAAACGTACAAGTTTTACATAGATATACCTACGAAGAATATATAAAAAAAAAAAAAAAACCTAAAATTGAATTTTAAAGTTCGATACCTATACTTATACTATGTACTATATGCTCAATCGGTATCGGTGATTTTATAATATTACGGTAAAATGAAAACGACAGTAACAGATTTTCAACATTTTTCTGGGAAGGGTCCTGAAAAAAAACTATGTACTTAAAAGGTACCTCTATTAATAGATGCCTCTTTATTGGACGACATTTTATTGAAATCATATCAGTGTCTGGAGGAGGTTCAGCCCCCCCTTCCCGTAAATCCGCCACTGAAAAACGATTATACTATTATAACGTACTCGTAGCGAAAACGGTATATTAGTTTTCGACGAGTCGGGAAAAGTCGTGCACGTTTTCCAAACGCGTTTATAATAATATTACTAAATATTTAATACGGTGTGTTAATATATTTTCCGCGATTCAAAAATCGCGCGAATACCATGCAAATCGAACATCGTACTAGCGAAATTCAATATAGATTTATTATGTACGTCGGCACATATGGCGCGTAATCGTCGTTTGGAAACGTTCAAGTGTTACTACACCTATATTATAATATATAATAATAACGTGTAATAACCTATAATAATTTAATATTGCGTTGAAATTTGCAAACTCGCGAAACCGGTGAAACGGATAAAATCGCTATATAGTCTAAATATATATACATATACATATTTATAACCTATATGGTAGCGGGCGGAGGAATAGAGTGTTATGACACCATAAATCTTTTTATTTAATTTTTTTTTTCAACGATATTATACATATTGCACAGTGCTCTTTTTAATAATATTATAATATACATGTATAATGCATCGCAATATAACGTTTCTAAACCGATCGGTATACGCATCGGATATCGTCGTGAATACACATAATATTATAATGGTAGTTGATATTTTATGATATAAACCGCGTACGCAGGCTATACTACGCCGTAATATACTCGTAACGTTTTATTGAAAACTCGTTGGTATACTATCAAACGGTTTTTCAAAAAAAAAAAAAAAAAAAATCGTCGTAACAAATTATTATAATATTGCCAGATCATATCACTTACGACATTAAATCCATAATATATGTAGGCATAGCAATAAATAATAATCGATAACCTTTTTATTTATTTCAGTAATTCTTCTAAACTAAAAAATTCACAATATTTTCTTACGGTTTATACTTTCTTTTTTTTTTCAATTTATTGTACTGTTTTATAAACGTACAATATGGCAAATTTTAGTTCAGCAGGGACAACTTTGTGCCATTAGTGTCAGTATAAGAGTAAATTGACCAATTACCAAATTTAAATATAAGAACATTTTCTGTGCAATGTTGACATTATTTTTTCCGATATTTTTATTTTTAATGTGTCTCGATTGAAACTTGAACTAATGAAAAAATATCATCAACATTGCACAGGCAATGTTCTTAACTTTAAGTTTAATAATAGATAAATTCACTTTAATATTAAAACTAATAAAACAAAGTTTTTTCTGCTGAACGCAAATTTAAAATATTTAAATTTTTTACACTATTGGGTATATTTTTAAGATTGTAACTGTTATTAAACTATTAGGTCTTTTAATTTATAAAACAAATTTTGATTGTATTGACTACGCCCACCCCCTTTACTGACAATTGGCGTACACTCAAGATTTGTTTAAGACTACATTGTTACACTGTTTGATTACAATAATAAGCTTAAATATTTTGTCAAAATACAACTCATAAATACGGAATAGTAGCAAATAGCCCAAATATTTGGAA